GTAACATCTGCCATCATCTCATCTACTGGTTCTTTTTATCTGTTACTTGTTATAAATGAAAGCGGCTACATAACACATATATCATTCATGGAGACTTTGGTTCTCATACATTAAATTGAAATAGCTGGAACTCTCACCCCTACACCCCCTCCTCATAATTTGGAAGACAAAAAGCAAGAAACCAGCATTAACAAGCCACTCACTTCACTTGTTATTTATTGTACACTAGACAGCAGTTCTTATACTATTATCCATGTAACAGCAAAGATAAAGTAGATATTCTACAAAATTCAAGCTGCTGCTTCATCAGCAGAGGAGACCTTCTTGAGAACATAAACAGGATCTCCAACCTTTACGACATTTCCCTTTTTCCCGGTAAGAGAGCCTTCGAAAACTAGATTCTGCCCAAAGTAGACCTGGAAATCCATTTAACATGTTGTATGTAATGTAAATCACTGCATGGACATGGAGGGTGGAATACGGTCCAAAGCCTATAATTGTTACTTACTCACCTTTCCTTTCTGTTTTTGAGTTGGACGCAAGACACTATCAGACCGGATTTTCCTAAGAGTTTCATTTGGCTCAGCTCCTGCGATGCCAGTCTCTTGATTGATTGTTGGTATCTGGAAGACATGAAAGTTCCTGGGACGGGTTTGATAGGAAATTTCTAGTTGTACAATGATCTAAAATTTACCGCCATCTGAGGACTCTTTCCCTTGGGACCGACCGTCGTCGCTGAAAAAGAACCCTTAGCTCGGGCAGATGACTCTCTCATCTTCTTAGCCTCCACCAACTTCATCTCCAAAGGATTCAATGATTCTGAATCAACTCCACGCTTGACTGCCCACGGCTCAATAGCTGGATCATGAGCTGACCTCCTACTTCGATCTCCATCTTTTGACCGATGCAGACGACTCGAACTTCGAAGAGGAATGTCTACATCTCTTTGACACTCAGCAGAACTAGGCTGGGCATGAGCTGAGGCTGTGGAGAGTCGAGCACTTCGGTTTTATTTCCCTTTTATATGGGGCCCCGAGCACCGCGCATACCACCAACCTTCGTGT